CACTTTCCAATATCATCCAACTAGCCAGTGCTCAGGTTGGGGCTGTGCTGGGGGAAGCTCTGCCTTTCCAGGTCTCAGTCAATCCTGTGGCAACCTCCAACTCAAGCACAGTGTCTGGCACACAGTGGGAACCAACTAAATATTCTTTGATGAGAGAATTTATTTCTCAGTGAGCTGTGACAATCTTTCTTAGAATTCTCATTTTGATGGGCTAAATACTCTCCTTTATATGTTGAAGTTCTAATTCCTAGCATCACCACAGATACGCAGAGAGAATGTCATCATGTGAACACGAGGAAGAGGTGACAAGTATATAAGCTAGTGTGTCATCAAAGCACCAGTATCTGGAAGAGAGGCCTGCTGCAAATCTTCCCTCATAGCCTTCCCAGGAACCCAGACTGATCCACACCTTGATTTTGGGCTTGTAGCTTCCAGACACCTGAGAAAATATATTTCTGTTATGTACACCCCCTTGTTTGTGTTCCTTTTTTAGGCTACTCTAGGAAACTAAAAGCAGAGACCAGGGTGGGGGACCTTCACTGCATTTGTTTCAGAGCCCCTTTAAATCTTCAAGTTTCTTTTCCTGAGGACATAATTCTCTTTTCCCTTTCTGCTGAATCCTGACAGTTCACAGTTTCTTGGAATACATCTCTAGTTGGGGGAATCATAATAGTTTCATCATTGAGGTCCCAAAAGGCTCTGAGGTCCAGGCTGGGGAGAGTATAGACATGGTTGGGTAGGCATGCTGTAGGCTTTCTAGTCCTCAGCACATTTGTTCCAGGGGTTAACATGTGCACAGAATCCTGGGTGACAGCTGGAAACAAAAGCAACCTTGCAGGCCCTCCCATGGGAACAGAATAATTATGATGCCATGAGCTGGTGAGAAGGAGCAAACAGTGAGTCCTGAGGTGGTCCTAACCTCTATATGCAAACTGGCAAATTCAACAGGCTATACAACTTGTCCTGCATGAAGCATCTATAACAGATGGATCTTAAGGTATAGCCCTGGTTGCTATGGAGAGTAGGATAAGGAGGGTTAGGGAAGAACACAGCTATTCATATAACTGCTCATGAGCTCACTTCCATCTTTACAGTAGAGAATCTTTGAGGTCATCTCATTTATTTCTCTGTTCACATGCAGAAGAGCACCACTTGAAGCCATGCTTTGTTTCCACAGTTGGACATAGACCATCACAGATCTTTTTTTTCTCTCCGTTCTACAAGGATCATATAGTTAGTGGCTTGGGTTAGCTGCCTTAAGTGATGGTACTGAGAACAACATATTTTCTGAAGATAAGGGAGATATGTGCAACGATTTTCAATACACAGAAATCCTATAATTATGAGATTTCAAAAAAAAAAAGAGCTATGCTAGCACAAAGGAATCATCCAAGGAAGTTGAAAAAATAAGTTGATTCCTCTTAAAGATTACTTTAAATAAATTATTTATTCTTGCAAAAATTATGCCACAGAAAAGAGATTGTACTCTTTTAGGAGGGGGTATTTTATCAGGAGGTCTTCAGGGTTGTTTTGGTGATGTGAACACTAGTTTTTTTTTTTTTTTTTGGTTAAGGTAGGAGGATTGACTAGTTTTCCTCATTGAGAAGCTACTGTTGTTCCCATTGCAATTAATAATCTTGTGAGAAATAGCTCGAGATTGTGTAAGTATTCTATTTCTCATCAACTTTTACCTCATCTTTTCATCTAAGGATCATCCTTGCCTGAAACAGTTACCGCTATGCACATTAAGATTGTGACTTTCAGCTGGGCGCTGATGGTGCATATCTTTAATCCCAGCACTCAGGAGGCAGAGAGCTAGGCAGATCTCTGTGAGTTCAAGGACAGCCTGGTCTACAGAGCAAGATCCAGGACAGGCACCAAAACCACACAGAGAAACCCTGTCTGTCTTGCAACACCCCCCCCCCCCCCGCCAAAAAAAGGAAGAAGAGATTGTGACTTTCTTTTTTCCACAATTCTTTCTATATTTATTAGTTGAGATTCCAGTGTGAAGACATATCTCCCCTCCTATTAAATGTTTGTCTATTCACATCAGCAAGAACTGTGGATTCTTATTTCCTTCAGATCCCTCTTCAGGTTGGTTTCTGTGCTCTTTTTCTTTTAATGGTTCATGCCCAAAGTATCCAGCCTGAATTAAACCATTAAACATTAGGTAGATCCAAATTTAGGGACACTACAACATAACTGGCCTAGACTCTTTAATACCATGAAGGTCACGGAAGGGCATTATTAGGACTATAGATTAAAAGACTAAAGGGAGAAGATAATGTCATAATGGAACGTCACACTGGCTCCCTGATTAGACCTTAGATTGGATTTTTGACCAAAGAAAGGATGTCACTATGACAACTGGGAAAATACTAATAAGGCATGTATGTCAGACGACATTACTGGATCAACATTAACTGATAATTACATTATGCTTCTGTAAGATAACTTTGGAAAACCTGGGTAAAAAGGATATGAATGTTCTTTGTAGTATTTTTGTATCTTTTTATAAATATGAAATTATTTCATAAGTAACCAGTTAGAAGAAACAAAATGACTTACAGGTAAAGGAGGGTCTGGTGGGGGTAAGGGATACAACATCAAAGAAAATAGGACAGGTAACAGTCTAGTCATTACAGGCCTGGGTACTCCCTGCCATTTGTCCTATCTAGAGTGATGTCCCTGAGCAGGTTTGGAGCTAGCACAGGTCTGTCTCTTCCTAAAGATGCCCTTTTATATCTCAACATCCTCAACATTGAAAATTACCATTAGGGTCTTGGGACACCTTCTTTTGCTGATACATTCACTGGAAAAAAATCAACTATAGCCTAATTACCTCAGGAGGTTAATTAGTCTCCTGTAATTTGGGTGCCCTCTGTGAACCCAGCAGCCTGTCCTCAGTCTGTGAACAGGGTGGGTGGTAGAGGCAGAGGCTTCCCTGTGAGCAGCTAGCCTTAGGGTTTATAGAAGCTCCAGCCAGGCTGAGAGCAAACAGCCATCAGGCTTTGCAGTCTCAGAGCCTGTGGAGGTAGAAGGTGCTTGATGATGACAGAATCTCTCTGGATTTAAGCTCCAGACACCACAGGCACTGACAGCAGAAAGACATATTGCAAAACATGGAACAATAAAAGTTTTCAGGCTGGACAATGCCAGAAACCACTAAAACAGATAAGGCACAGTGCTCCAAGGATGTCAAGATGCTAGCTGTATGAGGGCAGGGCCTGAAGTGTGCCAGTATGTCAGTCCTCTTTCTGTTTTCTTCCATCAGAAAAGTCAGCGGGCCTGGTCACTGGCCACATCTGAATGTAAGCTAGTACTAAAGCTACTCCCTGTTTGTGGGCAGGGTCTACACCTGTGTAAGCTTATCCTGTCACAGAACAACACCATGAGGTAGCACTTCTCTCCCCTCCACATCAACTACCTCTTCTCCACAGACACCCACATACAAAATGGCACACTGCACTTCCTTCCCATGGTCTTGTGTTCAACTTCTGTGGAACTTTGGGGCCTCATCTTGGTGATTTGGGGGTTGAAGCACTTGGCACAGTGTCCTCTCACGTGGAGGTGGGGGCACAACTATCTGGTCTATACTAGCAATGGGCTGGATATTAATTAAGGTGAAGCACCACTAATTGTATATTCCTTTGGTAAATCATGAAGAATTTTCAAGTATCTTTGTATTGAAATCTGAGTTTAAATGCTGGTGGTGCCTCTTATCTGCTGTATGAATTTAGGATTAACTTTTCTCCTCTGTGAAATGGAGCTGAGAAAACTTGCTACAGTTGCTGTGAGAATTAAATATATCGAAGTCAAGCATGTTAAATAAATATCTGCTCTCTGTTCAGTCCATCTGAAGGCTACAACAGCCCTTGATCTTGAGGTTTTTGTTTTCCTTAAACTGATTAGGTCGGAAAGGAATTTAAGAAGTTTCCCAGTATTCCATGAGACAGGGAAAAGGAGCACAGCTTTGAGGGGAAATGATGCAGAGACAGGGACAGTGCATCAGCTCCGGGAAGATGAAGACAGGAACAGTTTCTTTCTGATATCATAAGCTTTGCAGACCACCATGGAACCTGCCAACGCCTTTGTTCTTAATAGAGAGTACACAATTTGGATTCAAAGAAAAGTAACAATTATTGACTGGGGAACAGGTGACAGCAACCAGAGTTAAATACAACCATGCCTCTCCAGACCACTCACACCCAAGCAGTTGTTCTTTCTCTCCCTATCACTAATTCATCTTCCTTTGCAATGTGCTATTTTGGAAACACCATTTTTTAAAAATATAATTAATTACTTTATTTACTCTCATGAAAATGCACAAAACAAATTGGGACCAAGAAAAAATCCTGAGAAATGGTATGTGGCTAACATATGGCCTGTCTCCTTCTCCAGTTTCCAATTTTGCACCTCTGAACTAGCTGTAGTTCCCCAAATAGCATCTTTAATGAGAAAAGCCAAAGCTGCTTTCTGAAATCTTCCTCTACCGTGGAGTCAATGTCTTGTCCTTGCCTGGCTCAGCCTCCCTCATATGCATGGGTATACAGACATGTATACACATCATGCACTGCATTGTGGCATGGGCCATATTCCTGTCACTTATGCATGTTCCTAGACACACACACCAAGACCTTCCATATCTCTCCACCAAATATACCATCTTCAGGAATTCATCCATAAATACATTTTTTCAAAAGTCCCTGTCTGTCCCTATCTCTTTTGGAAGTTGGAGACTTACCTCTGTGATTTGGGGATTGGAGCATTTGACATTTTGGCTGGACCAGTCGAGCCAGGGGCTAGAAGTGCTGGGGCAGTGTTGGTGGAGGGTACATCTGCGCTCATCACTGCACCAGCCACACTCGAACTTGTGGTCAGCCTTGAGGCAGAGGCCACAGCTTTCCCGCTGGGCTGCACACTTGTAGAGATGTACTGCAAAGAGAGGGAGCTGTCATGGATAGGACTGCAGAAGCTCACCACATACCCTCTGTTTGTAGGTGTAACAGATCTCCCCAACCACAGACAACATCAGGGATCACCACGACAGCAAGAGTAAAACATGGAGAGTGAATAAGGTGACTAGGCAATCATCAAGAGGTACAGTAGAAAATAATAGGTTAAAGGTTTCTGCTTGTAGACTGAATCATATCCCTGCTTTAATTGTGGCTTCTCTACTTCCTATCAGTGTGACAAAGTATTTAACTGCTCTGATTCTTGTTTATCTATCTCTAACATGGAGAGAATGGTTGGTTTGGGGGAGGTGAGTGAGTATTCAGCAATGCCTGTGATACACTAGATGCTATATACACACACCTATTATCTTCTCTTTGAACTCTAACAGTATTCTTAAGCTACCATCTCTCACAAATTAGAGAAATGGACTCATTTCTTCATTGCAGGTAAAAATGAAGTAAAAAAGAAACATATTGACTCTCCTAGCTTACTATGGGTACTGGTCTCAAGCCCGAATCCTGATGTAAACCTTGTTGTGCTGCTGATGGTGGGTCCTGAAAAAAGAAGAATCTTAGTTGGCACCCTGGATTAAAGAAAGTCCAGGTGGCTGAAGCAGGAGGCATGCTAGCAAGGAAAGTATAACACAGCCCTATCACAGCCAGTGTAGATGAAGAATGTGTCCCCAGAGAGGACAAACTTGTTCTTGATAGGTCACATGATCATTCTGCAAACCTTTTGCTTTGCTTTTTCTCTAACTGACTTAGAGGCCCTAGAGGAACTAGCTATCAAGCATAGTTGTGGCATGAACCCTGGGTTTAGTCCTTTCTTGTTAGTACTGGGAATTCAGAGCTCCAAGCAAATTCTCCAGATGAATATAATTAGCTCATGGATTCAGCATCTAAAAGAAGATACATCTGTATATGTATAGACAGATATTTTGTTATCATTACTTAATAACTAACATGCACAACTCTCTTCCCCACAATTATATTCAATTATACATTGTAAGTCATCTAGAGATGTTTGTGGTTAGGTATAAATACTATGCCATTCTGGAGGTTCCTGAAAATAATCCCATGGTGGATATTGAGCAATGACTCAGAAAGTCACTTTTCAGCTTGTCTAGCCAAGTTGTCCTAAGCTTTTTGACCTGTCTTTGTGCCTCTGCCGGAGGTCAGGTACATTCCCCAAGGGAGATGCATTTTTCATTCTTCCATGGCACTCCCTGATACCTCTGTTCCATCCAGCTTCCTGGTTCTAGCTGCACAGACCATTCAGCATCCTAAGTCTATGTACTCTTATGCCTGTGGTCCCCAAGGCACTGGACAGGTGAAGGGAATCTGAAATTGAGCCAGTACTTGCAAGGCATTTATAAATCTGGATCATGTAGTCTTTAGCCATGAGCTTTGCAAAAATCCTCAGCAAAACCTTAAGCAGTGGTCTTCCTTTCCTCTAGGGTCTGCGTGAAGACACTAGGATGTAGTCTAAACTTGCATGGTTCAAGTAGAAGCACCAGAAGTGGAACTTGGTTTGCTGAATTTGGGAACCTGAATACTTAAACACAGTAGCCCACTGAACCCAATTCATGTACAGCATTCTCAGACATTAAGGATCTAGTAGACACAAATGTGAAGGCATGAGGAGGCTGCTTGTGCACCTACAGAATCTTATAGATGTAACAATCTGGACCTGGACATTTTCCTCCAGGTTCTGGGTGCAACCTCTGGGATCTAACTGATCTAACGTGGCAAGGAAAATATCTCTTATCTTCTAGTGGTGAAAAAGATCTAGTCTAGGAGCAAGCAAACACAGACTACCTGTACTGAAGTCTGTCTTGCAATGTAGGTTGCATTGACTTTAACAGTGTACCTCGGACAAGAAGCTGTCTGTATTCCATAGTAGCTGAGGCATCTGCAAACCCTATCCTTATATTAACTGCCCTCCTGGTGCCCAGGGGGTGACCCAGGAGTTGAATCAGAGGCTATGATAATTCCATTTACTTGAAGCATAATAGGATATATGGCTCTCAATGGGGGAAGGGCTTCAAATCCCACTCAGAACCCAGCAGCAGTGGCAGTAGGTCCTCATCTTGTTGTGTACTAAGTTGCATGCCAGCTCTGAAGTCAGACTGTCTTAGCACTTAACTATATGACTCAGCTTCACCATCTATAGGATGGGAATAATAATAGCATACATTTAGAGTTACTAAGTAATAAAAAGAACTCAAATGAATTGTTTAATGAATGCTTTATATGATACATGTTCAGTAGTTGAGTCATTCTGAAGGGCTGCCCTGAGGGTGGGCCTGCCAGGACCTGCTTTCTGGATGAGTGCAATGAGAGCTTACAGGTTAGGAGCCTTAGAGTTTCCCTCTTGCTCTAACCCAGCCCCCTCCCCTTTCTGAGCTTCTTTGCTCCAGATGTGAGCCTGAGTTAGCATAGGAATCCCTCGCCAGTCTCAGGACTACAGTGCAGACGTACAAGCCTTCTTTGTGCTGTGAAAGTGACCAGGGCTGGGAACACGAGAAGGAGAGCCTGCATGAAAGCAGCATCTCCATATCTAGGGAAGCTAGCAGGATGCTCTGCCTGCTGGTCTCCTAGGTCAGGTTCCACAGATACTTCAAAGCTACTAGGAGCCAGAGAACAGTGCAGAAGAACGGGCAGCTGCTTGGCGGATGCTCTGGCTGTAATAAAACAGGGCTCCCAACAGGACTCCTTTGATGGCTTCAAATGTTGCTTTAGGAGTCTCTGAAGAGCTCTTCTGGCAGAGGGAGCGTGCTATTCAAGGCACAGCAGCAGTCGGCTCTGATCTCCCGAACCCCAGCCTTTCCCAAGGTCATGAAAAGATCAAACTTGCACCCAGAAGCAGCTGCTTACCTTTCAGGTCCTGAGGGTTGTCAATGATGAAGTTGCCATTCCACACCACAGCGAAGTCCACTGCTAAATTGCTGATGTCCATCCCATCATACTGGTACTGCAGGGAGATGACAGGAGCACACATCTCTCAAGGCTGTCTCTCATAGTAAGTCAGACTGCAAAGCAACTCCTCAGGCTGCCCAAAGGGACCCTATGTCATCTTGTCCCTGACTTGTAGTTAATAAGGCTACCAGGAGCTTTCCTAAACCTCTGGCTTAGCCTTCAGTTCTTTCTGAAATCTGAAAAAGCTCAGGTCTCCATCTCTACCCCTTTCTCCTGCTGAATTCATCAGCTCTAAACACACTTGCTGAAGACCCTCTCTGTATATTGGTTGAGTCTGCATCTCAAAAGGAATGTTGCTTTCTCCCTACAACTGCCACCCTTTCAGCTTACCCTTGTTCATTAAGTCTAGTTCTCATTCATCCTCCCTGTGTCCTTTCTTATGTCCCTCCCAGTCCCCCAAACCCCCAGCCTTGGACTCCTGATGCTGCCATTTTCTGTCTTTAGTGTGGTACTTTCCAGGAACTACAATGCATTCTTTCATGGGTGCATTTATCCTCTTTAGAGTCCACTTTTGGGGACTCAAAGTTAATGTCCTCACTGGTCTCTCACACCTAGAGCCTATAACAGGACATGTGGCAACAGTTGTGGAGTGGCTGGTTGGTCTCTCAGGTGTATGGGATGAGTTTTTGATGTGTTTGTGTGTACAAATGTGCGTATGTGCATAATGCATATGGAGGCCAGAGGTTGAGGCTGGGTGTCTTCCTTAATCATTCTCCCATTTTCTGAGATTAGGCTGGAGTTCATAGATTTTGCTAGAATGGCTACCAAATGGGCTCCAATGATCTTCCACCATTCCACCCCCAGCACTGGGATTATAGTTGAGTCTTTGTGACCAGCATTTTTATGTGGGTATGGGGGATCCAAATCCAGGTCCTTCAGCTTGGGTGGCAGGCACTCCACTGACTGTGCTATCTACCCAGCCTTGTGCTTCCCCTCTGCAGATAGGTTTTATTGGATTAGTGTCTAATAAAGAAAGTGCTCGCATCTTCCTGGGGATCTCAAAGCACAGCAGAAAAAAATCCCTAGAGAGGCTGAGTCTTCTGTTCTTCGGACATCACAGAGGATCTTCAAGCCCTTCACAACCTCCTGGGTGGCCCCGTCCTCCCTGCACCCTGTTAAGTCTCCTGGGCGGCCCCTCTTTATGGCTGCCCATTTCTGGTCACTTAGCTCTGGAGGGCACGCCACCATTGCTCTCCTGCCCAGCCTTCCATTGCCTTCTCCTTTGTTGTGCTCTCTTTCTCAGCCTGGCTTCCTGCACACTTGGCACCGATTACAAATTCTATCAAACGCTTGTGACCCCAGAATCTGACAGCTCCCTGATAAGAGGCCCAGATTCTCTTTATCTCTCCCAGGCGAATTAGCTTCCCTCAACACCTTTGTCACATCCCTCATCTCTGAGCTGACCCCCCACAGTCAGAGACAGGAAGTTGGCAGATAAAAAGATCTTCTCTGGGCTGGAATTATAATTAAACACCTCCTGCTTTCTGTCCACCATTCTGGGCAGGATTAACCCTTTTGGCTCCTGAAATGCTGCATCTCTTTCCTCTCCTCCCACCCCTTTCTGCCCATTCTCATCCCAGTGATGCCCACCAGTGTTCTCATATATTGCATGTTGATAGGGTGTTGGTGGGGTTGATTCCTTTTAGCAGAACTTTCCCCAATGGTAAAAATGTGTTCTTTAACTTCAGAAGGAACCTCCAAATTTCACCTTCTGCCATTAAGTTCCCTTGAGAGTTCTCTCCTCTGAGAACATGGCTCACTGGCTCAGGGTGCTTACAGGTTTCTCTGTCCCTGGTAATGTGGCACTGCCTGTGATCCTACATGATCTAAGGTCTTGGCATGTGTGTGAGTTGCTTACCGAGCTGTTTTGGCACTGCACACTGGAACTGTTGAAGCGCAGGGCAGGGACTCGGTGTACAGCCCCTTGGATGTTGAGCACACACTCATAGCCCCGCTGGCCAGACTGGGGCTGGGGAAGGTTCCGGGCCTTGAGGGTGATTGGTTTCACTTCTCCAACTGGGATCAGAATCTCCTCCGTGGGCACAAGCTGGGGACAGTCCTAAGTGAGCAAGCAGAGAGCTCCATTAGTTCTCAGAGTTAAGCCCGAAGAGGGTAGAACCTAATGCCAGTCAGGAACTTCCTGTTTTCAGGTGGGTAGCCCATAAG